TTTGAAGTTAATCCGTTAATAATTACTCGAGATATCGAGCGGACACTGTTTCGGCAAGTCCATAAAGGGGCATAACTCCACAAATAATGGTCGGATAATGGCAGTTATTGAACTTAATCGAGATTTCATGGTAATTAACCTTGTTGTGAAGTTTGAAGTTAATCCGTTAATAATTACTCGAGATATCGAGCGGACACTGTTTCGGCAAGTAAAGGGGCATAACTCCACAAATTAAGGTCGGATAATGGCTGTTATCGAACTTGTCAGAGCTTTTATGGTAATTAACCTTGTTGTGAAGTTTGAAGTTAATCCGTTAATAATTACTCGAGATATCGAGCGGACACTGTTTCGGCAAGTAAAGGGGCATAACTCCACAAATTAAGGTCGGATAATGGCTTTTATCGAACTTGTCAGAGCTTTCATGGTAATTAATCTTGTTGTGTAGTTTGAAGTTAATCCGTTAATAATTACTCCAGATATCGAGCGGACACTGTTTCGGCAAGTAAAGGGGCATAACTCCACAAATTATGGTCGGATAATGGCGGTTATCGAACTTGTCCGAGCTTTCATGGTATTTAATCTTGTTGTGAAGTTTGAAGTTAATTTAATTGTTAATAATTACTTGAGATATCAAGCGGACATCGTTCGCATGCCCTCCCACCCGCTCACGTGATAACATAATATGTCCCTGTCTTTGACGGGAGTATAAAAATGACAGGAGCTTATGAGGGTTTGAGGAAAAATCAATACATCAACTGTTGACCCACAGTGGTCCCAGCATGCCATAATTAAATAAGGAAGCTCAAATACTCAAATATGCAAAGGTCTTTTCCAATAAATTTACCACAATTTCTGACAATTGTTCTTGGAAGAAAATGCTGATAACTTTTTATGATTTGTGCTTAATACGTTGTCTATATTCGACAATAAAATCATTGTACATTGAAACTAAACAGAAGAAATTTAATAAAGATATTAATACATTTGACCCCTGTGACCTTGAAAGTGGATGAAGTCAGTCTATTGGAACAGACTTTGCCCAAGAATGTTACTTGCCTATAGCTGATATATACCATGACCATTGTCATCTTGAATTTTCAACATTTGATAACTTTAAAGTGGGTCAAGGTTATAATTATGTGTACTGGCCAAATATCATGACCCTAGCTACAATGTATATAAAAAGTATTTTAGTTATTTTTGAAAGATATTGTTTAAAGAAGCAAGAGGCAAACAGGGCCTGTAATGCACAATCATCTTGATATTTAAGCAAATGCAATCATGGCCAAATTTAATATTCCAATTAACAGTAATACAATATTACAAATATTTCCCCATTTTGGGCTCGAACTCTCCATATTTCTTTTATACAAAAATTGTATTTCCTGATCCCAAGCATACATTATTCAAATTTCGTTGAAATACAACTGTTCTTATGTAATGACCCAGCTGGGACTTTAACACCTGGGGTAAGACTGAACCAGGGAAAAATCCAGGTAGCATGACCTGTATTTGTTTCTTTGATGCCTAGTAATTAATGTTTTTAATGCTTAAGAATTTAATGGTGGGGATATAAGATGGATGAATGATTCTGTGCCACTTTGGCATAAGCTCCATAGGGTGGGTAGAGTAAAACAAAAATTGTCTGCAGATATCTGGGGATCAACCAGATATTTCAGGAAGACTGATACTATATGCATAAACGGAAGTAATTTCTGATATATTTATACCCATCAATAAAATGTATCCATATCCATCTGTAGGTCAAGTTCATGAGTCTGACTTTGTCAGTCTATAAGGTTTCTTCCACTCAATAATATAACTAAGTAGGTCGTTCATGTGCTGCCCTCATTTGCATATCATTATTCATGATCATGACTTGTATATTACCATACAGTTTCATTATGCTGTCCTGTACAATATAGACATCATTATTGTTTTTGACATAAATGTAACACAGTAATTGCTTTCCTGACAGAGACCCACCAACATTTCCCAAATTATAACCTTGACCTTTGACCTCTATAATGGCAGGAGTAAATTGGATGTTATGGTGCTGCTATAGATCTATACCTCCTACTGGATCCTAAATGAGAGGCTGATGCTCTAGCTCCCTGAGATAGTAGAGTGGGCCTGTTGAATGGATCGACAGTTACGTGTTATAAACAGTCAAGTTTAATTTGTTAGTCCTGCGTCTAACTGTTAATTATACTGGTTCTAGAAAGGGTCTAAGATCTAGACCCAGGAGCGGATTCTGATTCGAAATTTCCTCAAGGGGGTGTCAATCACCATTCAAAATTTTCAGGTTTTTTTTCAACAAATGCAGTCTGAACCATATATAATATTCACAAAATTAAGTTAGATACCTGTCCTGGCCCTTTACTTTACTCAAGAAGTTTCAAGTTTTATTTGTAAAAATAAAACTTGAAACTTCTTGAAGTTCTCTTCTTTTGTTTATTAGTTAAATGCCCGAGGGGAATGAATAATTTATTATTTCAATTTTCTTAGGGAAAAGATTATCCTTGTTTGTTTTCTGATGAACTGTTATCGTTACTTCTTGCTAGCTTACCATGAAAGAAAAAATTACCGTAATAATTTGCTAATTATAAAATGAAAATGTCACTATCAGATATCTGATCATCTAATTCTTGAAACATAGTATTTGGTACATTAACATCATAATTATTTAAAAACTCATTAACCATTTCATTCTCAACAGGTTCCGTTGAAGACAATTCGCTAAAATACTTAAAAACAAGAGGCCCATGGGCCTTAACGGTCACCTGAGTCTACAGTATTTTTTTTTTTTGTTGAAATATGTACCAATTTGAGTAAAAAATAGTATAATGTTAACTTAACTTTGTCAGGACCATGAGCTGATCATTCCTAGACCAATTTTAAGTGAGATCGGCCTATTAGAATTTAGTAGCAAAATAGCGGCCATGGCAGCCAAATTGTATTTCTGATTAACCCGAAAAATAACAACACTTTGTCAGGACCATGA